TTCCCAATATAAACCCCTATATAACAGACCATCCCAGGTTCTGAGCACGGAGCTCCTCCGATGTGGGCTACAGATGGTTGCCAAATCTTTGAGAAGGGATTTTCGGCTGCTGTTCAACTCGCTGCCGGGAATCCCGGGGTCCGCGTGTGCAGCCATCGAGCGAGTTGCACTGCTACTTGCAAATGAGGTTGGGCTTTGCATCTGTGAACCACTTCCACTACCATGGTCTCTACCTCGAGTACTGTGGCTTTACACATAGGTCTTGTGCTCAGAGCTCTGGTTATGGTCTAGTTGGTCTAGAAGCTGAAGTGACTTGAAGGCAGTTCCCCGTGGAGCGAGTGGAACGGTCAACTGTGGGTGGAAGCAGAACCGAGGGCCCAGAGCTCAGGGTGCCGCATGTCTGGCCCCAAATCTTCCTGGTGGTTAGTAGGGAATATGGGAATATAATTCCATATATGATATGTCCCCTTACAGTATTCCCTGCCAACCCCCAGTAAGGAATATTAACTATTCTTAGAGCGCCTTCAAAAGTGCCTCTGATGTGTGCAAGGCAAGCTCTGCGCGGAGCTGCTGGCAGAGTCCCAGTGGTACTGCCGAGGGCTGGCTCCCAGCTTAGAAATTACTCAAGTGGGGTTTAGGGTTGTGGGTGTAAGCCTTTAGTAACGGGGGGTTTAAGGGTTCGGGGTTTAGGGTTTGGGTTTTGAGGGTTTAGGGTTTAAGGTTTGGGCTTTTGGGGTTTATAGGGAGGCCATTGGGGAACAGTATGTGATAGTATGCATGTGGGGCTCATGAGAGTGGATTCAAGAAGTGCTTACTTCCGTTTGAAGGAGATTCACGGGGTTGGCAGCTTCTCCTGTGCGGACATCTGATTATGACAGTTGAGGCAAGCAACAAGCAACACCTTCCCCATGAGGTCCCTGAAGAAAGAAGTGAACGATATGCAGCCAGCGAGAGGCGAGAACCCGATTAAGAGGTTTCTCCAGCAAGCAGCCACTCAAAGATGGACCTGCATGGCGGATCAAGGTTCGCTGAGCTGCTGGGATCAGCTTTGAGCTGAGCCCTTGAAGATGCCCTGACGCTCTGCGGCCTGCCCATGGCAGGAGTTGCCCGAGAAGTTCACCCATTCCGTCCTACAGAGCAGGTGTGAAGAGAATTTGCTCGCCAGTGACGACGTGGACATGCTCTGCTTGCCTGAAACCCCAATGAACACCATGTCACGAAAGCTAGCTCTTATGGGAGTTCTTGTGCACCAAATACAGGCTCTTGGGCGACGGAGTAGGGCTGTCAGACAAAGAGCGGCCATGTTCTCCTCGCCCTCCTGGCACGGCCCAACCGCAAAGTATCCAGCCGTCGAGTATCCCTGGCGTGCCAAACCGGGGAGTATGCCTGCAGTGTCCAACCGCAGAATATCCGCAGAGTCATGCACAACTGCAGAGTATCTATGCAGTGCTACAGTGCCAAACCGCCTCCCCCCATGCCCAACAGCAGCGTATTCCTTCTGTTCCCAACCGCATGGTATCCTGCAGCGCCCAACCGCAGAGTATCCCTGCAGCAGAGTCGCAGAGTATCCCTGCAGTGTGCCAAAGTTTGCATTGCTTAACCCCAGAATTTTATTCAGAGCTTCTCAGCCACGGAGTTTCGCTGCCGCGCCAATCCCGAAGTCTCCCTGCCTGCAGCCCCCAACCACCACAGCACATTCCTGCTCCAAACAGCCCAAAATACTCCAGAGGTTCCCTGCAGCTTGCGGCAGTGCCCAAGTTCGGGGTATCCTTTTTAGTGCCCAACGCCAGAGCATAAGCATGAACAATCCTGAAAATCCTCAGACAGCACCCCACGATCCGAACGGTGGACTGCACTTCGACATGCTCTATACTTTTGCTGGAAGTAGTTGGTGATGCAAGCAAACTGCAAGAAAGTAAGGGTAAGGATGTTCGAAGTAGATAGTTATGAATAGTCTTTCTAGTTTTTATTGTTCTCATGTTGCGATTCGTATCATGATTGTTGTTATTGCTCTCATTACTGTTGCTCCCCCGTGTCACCTGTCCACGCAATAGGCGTTTGTCTGACTGAGCTGGCCTGACCATGGGACCCCTGAACCCTACACCTTAAACCCCAAAACCCTAAATCCTTTACCCTAAAGCCACATGCCAGGCCACCCCCGCCCCAGGTGCGCACACATGCTTCTTTTTCTCCTTGTTGTCGGCTTGTCGCTGGAGAAATCTGGGGGGCTGAGATTCTAGAACTGCGTTTCAAGGAGAAAAGTGAGTGATTTGGAATTCTTGAATGCTGTTACAAGGGGGCCAATATGCGGAATCATAATTGATGAGGGGTTGCTAGACATCCAACAAAATGCATGATTTTCACGAGTTTTGTCTTGAAAGTTGGAAATTTAGGCCAACAATATCGGAACGTGAATGAGAATCAGGGCTTTCCTGAATGTTCTGTTTTTGAATCATTTTTTCAGGCTTCCTGCCCGGGAATGTAAATACAAGAGTTTACAGGCAATCCAAGCATAGTCCCCTTAAGTACATAGAACATGGATTTGGGTATGCCCATGTACCCCATATTCTACTTCAGGGGGACGGTAGACTTCAAGGCCCCATTTATTAATGTCCTGCTCTTCGGAAAAGCCGGCAATCCGCAACTGCAATCGCTCCCTCAGATAGCCTGAACCATAAACCCTAGAACTCCCAAGCATGGCTTCTGTCCCCCCTTCCTAATGATGAACGGTCGCGTTCTCATGGAAATCAAGGAGATGCTTCATGCCAGTGTGACTTTGTAGATTATGTCGATGACCTGTTTTGAAAAACGATAACAAAAATAGTCAAGTGGTTTTAAACCCTAAACCCTAAATCCCGTGCCAGGGAGTGTTCAACTTGCACCTTAAGTCCTCAAACAGGTTTCCCTGGTTCCTTTTATTCCCTAATCTTCGTGGAGCAGAAGCAGTAACAAGAACAATCATAACAATAATAAGAACAGTAAGAAAACTAGTAATACTAGCAATAGTCATAGGAATGATAGTACTAGTAGTAGTAATAATAGTAATAGTAATAACAGCAGCATGTAATGGTAGTATTAATCGTAATAATAGTATCAGTGCTAGTAACAGTAGCAACAATAACAATAAGAATAACAATCCGAAATCCTAAACCCTAAGGCCTAAACCCCAAACCCTGTAATAGTACCTATTCAGAGCCAAGCCTCCCAGGTGTTGTCGGCGGGCAGCCAGGTGGGAGTCACCGGGGAGCCGCCGCCAGCAGATATCGAGGCCCTGGGTGCAGCTCCTCAAAAACCCTAAACCCTAATCCCTGAACTCTGAACCCTGAACCCTAGCCCTAAACCCTAAACCCTAAACCCTATAGAGAGCAGCCCAGTGAAAGGGTCTGCGTCTGATGCGACGGGTAAATTGTAAGTATTGTAGGTGGTGGGTAGGTCAGACCCTGTAGTTGGTGTGTGACAGGCATAGGACGCAGACGGCAAGGGGGAGCGACTCCAAACTTGGGCTAGGTGCTGATCTTTTCCTCGATCAGGTATCGATGAGGCTTGCTGTGACTGGTTCCCCAAACCCTAAACCCTAAGAGCCGGAGTTTGGACTTGTTTCGGTCCTCCAGAGACCCTTTGACTATAGACATTCGCGGCGCAGAGCAGTGCAGTGGAAGGGGGAACCAATAGGGATATAGGGTTTATTGGGGATTATTATAGGGATAACGGAAAAGAAAATGGAAAGTATAGGGGATTATAGGGATTATTCTATAGGCCTCTGCAACGCCTGGAGAAGGAGAGAGAGAGACATATGTATAGGGATTTTTGGTTCAGGGTTTAGGGTTTAGGGTTCAGGTTTTAGGGTTTAGGGTTTAGGGTTTAGGGCTCTGGATTTAGGGTTATCGGGTTCAGAGTTTAGGATTTAGGGTTATAGGGGGTTTAGGGTTTAGAGAGGGAGTGATATATATATATATGTATGTTGGGGACACATATTGGGGTACATATCCGGGCTGTATATGGGAATCTCCGTGACTGCCATCGCTTTTAGCACTTCGCAATCTCAAAAGTGCCAACAGTCACAGGGATTGGGTGTCTGAAACGTGCCATCTTCGTGACTGTGGCCACTTTTGGACTCTGACTCTGTGTACAAGGTTCAAAACGTGCCGACAGTTACAGGGATGGGCTAGTTTGCGTCACGACCCTTCGGGCTGTGGTAGATCGATGTTGGTATTTGAACGTGTCTCATATTCCACCATGAAGCTTGTGTCTCCTTCTAATACCCTTAGAAAACCTCAGAAACACAGCACAGGCTGCATAGGAATGATGATCCATCTTTTATATTTACACGTCTATAGGTAATCCTCATATGAATATCTTCTCTCATCGTGTTACAGCATCCCAACAATACCCTCGCCCTTTTGTGCCAAAATGCAACGAGAAAGAGTTCCTCTTTCAGTGAGAATTCCAAATGACTGAACCATCTACTTGAAGCAGACGGTTTATAGCTAATGTGAAACTGCCCAAGGAACAGCTGTTAGGGTTTAGGGTTTAGGGTTGGTATACATAGGGGTTATATTGGGGTTATATAAGGATAATGGAAAAGAAAATGGAAACTACTACATTATATAGGGTGATATAGGGGATATATAGGGTTGCATCCTTGAAAGGCCTTGGCCACGTTTGCTGGCAACGTGATTGGCCTTCTGCAGTCCAGGTCTGCCGAGGGCTCCGAATGAATTGCCTGCCGTAGTAGATCATAGGTAATATCATAGTATACTAGAGTCTATAGCATACTAGAGTATATCATAGTACAGTATAAGATATCATATTGTAGTACTAGCATAGTATAGCATAGTATGGTATAGTATAGTCTACTATAGTATATTAACGCATGAGCACAAAGAGACGTTTGCTTCAAGCGCTGCTTGTGCAGGAATATTCCTCACAATGCCTGAGCCTCTGTATTTAGACGAGTCTGTTTGCCAAGTGGTAGTTTGCATATGCTAGGCTGCTGCTCCCAGATGTCAGGTCATGATTGCGCCATACCAGGGCGAGAGGAAACCCAGGCTGCTTTGAAGTTGCCTTGCCCCACGGTTAAGGGTTTAAGGTTTGGGGTTTAGGGTTTAGTGTCTTGCGGTGAAGCCGTGCAGCGCAATAGCTGTAACCCATCAGGCGGAATATGTTGAACAAGCTATCCAATCCAGAATTGGTTGAACTTGAGATCGAACTCTATTTCCCAAGTTTGACTGGTCTACTTCAGACGTTGTCGGTGGGCTTGTGCAACTTGTTCTGACAGGCAATTCGAGGATTTATTCGCGGAGGTGAATGCGACGCCCCTCGCAGCATCGCCAGAGGCGAGCCTGGCCATTTGACGGTTGTTTGACAGGCTTGCGGTTTGCTTTCCGTGTCTAGTATAGTTGGGGCTAGCTATGAAGCCGCTGAAGCGTAAACAAGTTTTGTTCCCATAGCTCCGGATCGCGAGGTGTATATCTTTCCGCGGCAGTCCGAAGACAAGTACCGACGCTTGTGTGAAGTTGGAAGGAAATTAGGGCTTTCTGCGCTTGAGCAGCTTGCGTGTGCACCAGCTTGTTGTCGAGCGGTCCCTGCCTGCTGTGTTGGATGCCCCGAACACAAGCAAAAACCAATTGGCACTAATAAGTTTCATGATTTATGAGGAGCAGCGTTGATGCTTAGATAGAAGTGGCGCCCAGGGGTGCCTGCAGTGAACGCCATGTCTTGATCCAAGGAGCGGACGGCGGCTTCAACGCTGCGATCTGTGAAATATCAGGGCTGATCACATCCCATGATGCCACATGCCAAAGTTTTCGCCAGAGCTTAACCTGCAATTTTTTTGGTGGTGACAATGACCTGAGGAAGAGCGTTTCCAGCAGTTCGACGAGGACAAAGTTTCGAGCATCTTCAAGGAGGACGGGTCCTGAAGATGCCTAGCGGACAAGACAGCCTTCTCGCGCGCTCTCTTAGGATGTGTCGCTTGCTGGCGACGACTTTGATGATCTGATCTGCAAGGCCGGCAACCATTGATCAGCATACTCATAGGGTCAACAGATGGTTGTGGCCTCATTTGAAGTACGCTGAAGGGTCTTTTGAAAGCACTCCTAGATGATCCGAGATGCCCTGTGGCCAGGTAGCATGGATGGTCTCTTGATGCCATGTGGGCAAAGTCTGGAGAATGCTTCGGGCTCTCGCCTGTTCGTGTGGCTTCGCCTGCGGAGAAAGCATTGCTTGTTTGGCAGAAAAAAAAAGGAGGCGTTGCGCAGCATGCGTTGCGGATATTGCGCTTCAGCATGCAGTCCTACTCAGCCAGATGCGGACAACCAAGGCAGCGGTTCATGTCACCAGAACAGCACTTTCAGGTCACCAAAAGAAGCTTTTCAGGTCATCAAAACCATGACAGCTGTGAGAGACTCATCTGCTCCCCCTAAACCCTCTTTGGGATCAGCTGAAGTTTGCCAGAAAGCTCGGATGACAGCTGAATTTTTCGGGATTTCAGGTGGCAATAGACCGGTGCTCAGGCAGGCGTAAAGGTCCCCTGGTCCCATGCTCCAACATTGGGCCTCTTAACTCATGTGACCTTATCATGTGGGACCACACCGTGCACTGAACCCAGCACGGCCATTGCAAGCATGGCCAGCACTCCTATGGCTGCCACGCCTGATGCCACAAGCGATGAAGCAAGCGATGCCATAAGCGTGACCAGCGCTACGTCGTCCGTCAGGCATTCGCTTCAAATCGGGGTTTCAGGCAGAGGATAGGTCTGGGGCTTCCCATGCGGCAAACACGCCCTGCAGCTGGATTCCCATTAAACTTCAATGTGTGTGGGTAAGTTTTCCTTGTTGCTCAACCCACACAAAGACAAAGGAAACCGTGATGACTTTGAAATAGTCCTGAAAGCTACACCTACAACACCCCTGAAAAAATCCAGGTGCCCTAATCCACATACCATTAACCCTAAATTCCTAAGCCATAAACCTTACGGTCTTACACCGTAAACCCTAAGTCTAAGATTTTAAAGCCTTAAACAGTAAGCCTCTACTTCCTAAACGCTGAATCCTCTTTGCGTAGCATCTCCGCAGGTCGCCTAGCCCCACTGTGGAGGAACTTACGGAGGCACTTTCCATGGTTTTGCTTTCGAGGTGTTGGTGTCGCAATGGGGTCGGTCAGATCGGCTCTGAGTTGGCCTGCGAAATGGGGGTCGCCCTCTCATCTGAGATCAGACTAGTTCCGTTGAGAAGAAAGTGCTTGTGGTGACCGGAGGGGTGCGTTCGGTGGCTTGCCGCACGTTTGGTGACATGTATTTTTCTTCGTTTCGGTTTGCTGGTAGTGCTCCAGGTGCTTGTATAATGTTAGCATGACATTAATCGCCCCCCCAGAACTTGTTTTGCGAATTGGGCTTACGGAAGGGGGGGGTCGCAATAGTAAATGACGGGGCCATGGGTCGGTGCGAAGTGGTAAAAGTCTAGTACAAGTAGGGCAAGTAAAGTATAGCATAGTATGGTACGGTATAGCGCAGTACAGTATAATGTAGTATGATTTAGTGTACTTAGTGGTAATGGTGACGGTCTGCTGCTGCGAGTCTGCAGCCCCTTGAGCTCTCGGGTCTCTGTGAACTTCTATAGCATTGGTAGTTCAAGGCTCAGGCTCGAAGCTTCAAAGCCCTAGACTTATTTTATTATTAGATTCCAAGCTTGGCTTATA